TGATGCTGCAGGTGTCATGCTATATGGAGCTTACCGAAAGACACGGACTGAGTGAAATCTCACCTACCCACACTGTAACTTATTTACGTGTTTTTTTTTTTTTTTTATTTACAAAAGTGACATGTCTGCAGGTTCCTGGCAAACAATGAGAGGAAACTTCTCAAACAAAGGCTGGTTGGAAGAGGAGAGGAGGCATCTGCAATAAAGGTGCTGGGAAGGCATGGTACAAAACAATGACTCAGAGAGTTTCTGGCAAACAGAATCGAAAACTTCTCAAAGGCTGGTTGGCAGAAGGAGGCATCTGCAATAAAGGGATGTGCAAAGGTGTTAGTGACATTAAACTCTGGCATCAAAAAGAAATAAGAAGAGTGTATAGGAAATTCTTGTGTGTGGCTCTTCTTGCGCAGTGAGGAAATTTTTGTAAAGAATTGGATCTGACATTGTGGAGATAATTTTTTTGTCCATATAAGATATCTCATTAGCAGGTTGAATTTACTATGTATGGTGTGATCATTTGCTTCACCCAAGTCGGATAATGGTTTTTTAGCGTTTTATTTCATTTTGTGTATCACTACAACGTGTGATGTACGTGGTGATTATTTGATTCACCACAGTTGGGGTTAATGGTTAGCTTGTCCATATATTTCGATATTTGCCGCATCCCAAGCCTATTTTTATTTTCTATTTCGCAACATCCAATTACTGTAAACAACCACAAATGTTAGAAGTGCCACAATGTTCATAATTTCTCAAAATAAAATAAATGACAAAATTCCAAGAAGCACAAAGCAAAACCCAGTTCAATTAACAAAACCCTTATCAATGCACGGCTTACAATTTAATAGAAATATCAAACAAACTACAATCCTCAAAAATCCCAGTTCAAAACTACAAGCAGACAACAAATTACACAAAAGGGTATTCATAAAGAGCCTCACCAGAGCGACCTGAACCTTCTGAGTCTCTTGAGTCAAAGGAGGTTCAGCTTTGTGAGCATCCTTAATCAGCCTCTTCCATGAAACAATTGTGGTCTCACCGGGCCTCAGCTCAATGGTAAACCTCTGCCGAGTCGAAACCGGACAAGAATCGAACTTCGAAGTAGAAGAAGAACTGTTATCAACCTCCATGAATTAATTAATTACAATGACAAAAGAGGGGTTCAGCCATAAGCCAAAAAGCTGTGATCTTTGGGGTTTAAAGGGAGAAAGGGAAAAAGGGTATTGAGAAGAAGGACGGGATGGTGAAATGGTGAGAGAATTGAAGGAAAGAAGAACAAATAGGGGTGTAATTGTAAAAATTGAAAGGCATTCAAGGGTTTGTAGATTAGATTTAGATAGATTTTGAGTTCGCTTCAAAATTCGTGAGGGACATGTCATCAATAGTTGAATTTGACACTTCGCTAACCCGTAATTTATTTTTATTTTTCTTCCACATATAATGGATTTTAAAAGCAAGTAATATATACAATTTTATAAAAAATTTAAAAAATTGCATAAAATTATTTAATTTTTAAAAAATTATATTAAATAACTTTTTTTTGGTGAGCAGTGAAAATCCACCATTTATAAAAGTTCGTCAAAAAATTGCCCATTTATAAAAGTTGTTCAAAAAATAATTCTGTTTCAAAACTTCAACATGATTATACCAAATTACCTCTTGAAACAAAAAAAAAAAACTATATCGACAAAAACCTACCAGTTTCTATCGGTTCACCAATATAGATGTTTAACATTAACGGGATGTTATCAGTCATTTTGGGTTTTTAAGTTAACAAGATATTTTCATTTAATAAGTGGAGTAAACAACTTTTTCACACTCAAATAATAGCTTAATGACACTTTCTCACTCACGGACTTTTAAAATACCACTTATTACCTAAATTTATATTCCATTTCTGATTTTGACATCGTTACGACCCTACACCACCAACATTCTCTTTCTTGACCATCACTCACCAAAACCCCTCAAAACCTACTCCTACCCACCCCGCCAATCGCTAGCCGTCGAGCGATTAGGGTTGTATAGCCGCCCCTCCCAAGTCAAATTCTGATCAATCTCAACAACTAAAATCTAACCTCCCACCACTAAAAGATTCACCGGTCTCCCCTCTTCAAAAGCCCCAACAGCCTGGACTTAGTTTGCTCTCTGTTCGCCGTCGAAATCTAACTTTGGGTAGTAAAATGGTATTTAAAAAGTCCGTGGGTGGAAAAATGTCATTTAGCCATTATTTGGGTGGGAAAAAGTCATTAACTCTTAATAAGTGTTTTGAAATTTTGGAATAGAGCTATTCTTTGACATATTTTCATATTAATTTTCAATTGAGTCCCAAAAAAGGGTTATTTAATATAATTTTTTTAAGAATTTGGATTAGCATAATTGTTATTCTTATCAAAAAAGGAAAAAGAGGAATCATTTTAACTTTGGGCATCTAAAAATGAAAAAGATGAATGAATTTATTAACCTTCAAAAGGAAAAAGTAAAATGTAAGGAGAGTATTAACTTTAGATAGTGTGAGTTTTTTCAAAATGAGTACAATTTTAAGGATGAAAATTTGATTTGTATCATATACGAAAATCTTCTTGACTCAGTAAGACATTGTGTTCTTATTTTGACTCTCTGAGCATTGCTACCAATGACTCTTGATTAAATGTAGACTTAGATGACAAAGAAAATCTAAATGGATTTTTAAAAAAATATATATCAGAGAGAGAAAAAGTCAGATTGGATGAAAAACATTGAAGAATTCAAGAAAATTTAGTTTGTAAAAGCATAAGTCTTGGTTAGAAAAGTCATTTACTTGTGAAAGCTCTAAATAATTTATTTTGAGTTTTTAAGATTTGGTTCAAATGTCACTTTTCAAACTCTAGGGGTTAAATTAATTTTCCAAGTTTTATATATTTTCAGTTTAACCCATCCGGTGAACCGATGGAGATTGCGCACCAGGATTTTATTTTCAATTTTGGGCTAAACTAACATATTTTAAAGTTGGTGGGTTGACAATTTCTACCAAGGTTTAAATCTTTGCATTTTAACCCATTTGATCGACTAGATTATCTTTTGGATTTGGACAGAAGCAGTTCTAAAACTGCTTTATCAATCTAGTCAACTGGATTTCAAATCCAATCAACCAAATTTGGTTAAGCGGTTGTAATGGCTAGTGTTACATCATAATTTGATCGACCAAATTGCAAAACGGTCATCGAATTCTTCGATTTTCAAGTGCAATTTTTGGCGTAACGACTATAGTTTTTAACTTTTCTATGTAAACTCATTTAATCCCATTCCAAAACAACTCTGTACACTCTAAAATTTCATTTCTTTCAAAGCAAAAGCAACCAAATAATCTTTTAGAGATTTCACTTGCAAATTTCATAGTCTAACTCTAACATAAAGTCTTGCTACACATTAACTTGCTTTCTTGTAGATTGGTTTGAATTGAGTGAAAAGACTTGTATAGCTACTCTGTGAGAGAGTTATTCTTCAATCCATTTTCAAGTTGTAAAAGAATGAAGTTCACTCTTGAGTTTCTAAGCATTTATGGTGAGATAAAGTGACTCCTAGAGAGTGTCAAGTTCCAATAACACCTTGTAAGCTATTTGTAAATTGAAAGACTGTTTGACAACCAATAAATTGTGGACTACTTAAAGCTATTCCACCTTGTAAGTTCACCCTCTTCTTAAGCATTTTCTTCATTCAATTTTTTCTACTAAAATGAGATATTCATATTTCATAAAATTTGAATTTTACACATAAATCATCTAATATAATATAAGTACCCAAATTTGGTAGGTAATTTATTAAGCATATTACGTGGAATACTTAAAGAAGTTATTTTTATATTATATTTTTCTAAAGTAATCAGAGAATCTTATGTTAATTGGAAGATCATATTAAAAAGGATGAAATGATATTATATGGCATTAAGGATATAATTATTCCTTGATTTGATCTAAATCTCTTAAAGAAATGATATCCCTCACTTGTCTATTATATTGAATTCTTAACTTGCCCTACTTCCTTTCTTGAAAAGAAGACATTTGAATAAAACTTTGTCTTTATAGACAAATTAATGTGACATTTTAATTGATATTTTATTTGGTTAACATTTTATTTTATACTAAGTTACCTTGTATGAAATTTTTTCTCCATAATAATGAACACCTTTTTTGAGTAATGATACTACCGATTTATGATATTGATTTTAGGCCTGAACCTTGAAGCGTGGTTTTTATGACTTTATTTCTATTTTAAAAAATATATCCATTGATAAATCATATATAAGACTTTTACGACCAACATCTCTTGTTATAAATATTGATAACATGCTCTTATTTTAATAATAATAATAATAATGAAATAATACATCCCAAAACGTCGAAGTAATCATTATAAGTGTTGACTCAAAAAGTATACATGTTTGATATACCCCAAAAATGTCAAGCAAATAAAACTAAAGATGGGAAAATGGACAAAGCATGAATGAAGATGTTATTGTAAGGTGCATAGCCTTATATTTTAAAGCTTAGAAATGATTTGTCATTGTTGAAAGCTCGCACATAAAATATAGGTTTCGTTAATGTTTTAATTGGCATCGATAAACCCAAAGTTTTGCTTCTCTCATAAGCTCTTTTTTAGCATATTAATATATCCAAACATCTTCACATTGGATTTTATAAATATTACTTATAATTTCTTATATTAGAACCTTTTTTTTTTGTAAATTTAAAACTAAAATGCCCTTACACAATTCACTAACCCAACAGTTATCTTCACAAAAGCTCTAGTTTCATATGATTACACCCAAACCCAATAATCTCCAATTCCATGAACTTTACCTAACATATATCCTTAGCAACCTAGGGGACGTCAATACACTTCTGCAAAACATCAGGGGCGATGACGTAATAATTTCAATACTTATGTCACTAGGGACTTAGTAATACAAAATTAAAACCTTTGGGGACCTTTTAATTGTTTAACCGGTCAATAAAAATCTCCAGGACCCGCTGGCGCACACGCCCTCTCGCTGGCGATCGACTCTTTGTGGACTCTTGATGATCAAAACGACCAAAGAATAAGAACGATATGATATGAGGGAGCTCTGTAATCTAGGGTTTCCTCCACAAGTATTATCGTTTTGTTAATATTTTATTTTGCAGAAAATTCAATAAAAAAACATGGGAAATATATTTGTGAAGAAGCCTAAGATCACCGATGTGGATCGAGCCATTCTCTCCCTCAAAACCCAGCGACGCAAGCTTGCTCAATACCAACAACAGGTCTCTTTTTTTAATGCCCAGTTGCTAATTTCACGTAATTACTCTTCTAAGTATTGTAAATTATGAAATCAAAGCATCGGAGATTGGCCATCTAGTTGGATTATTCACGTTTTTTAAAGAAATTTTATCATAGTGTGTTTATAATTATATAATTTAATCAAATCTGTTTTGAGTTAAAAAGTAAATATTTAGGGAGATTATTTGGTGATCAGAAGAGACGAAATATCCGTTTTGTTTGTGTCAATGTTAATGATGAGAAGTACGAAATTGTTATCCCTTTCCTGGAAAATAGATATATAAATGGAAAAAACTAGCTATCTTGGCTTAGGGTTTATGAATTTCGCGCGTTTAGTGATGTGTAGTGCGAGGCTGTTGCAAAGGGGTTAGAGGAATTTTATAAAGCAATAGAGCTTGATATGGTTGTTTTTGACGGCAAGAATTGAAAGAAAATTGTATTTTTTTTTTAGCTGTGTGTTTGTGTTTGGCTTACCTTCATAGAGTCCAGTGATCCTCTCTCTTGTTTGGCTTGTTTAATTTATACTTATTGCGTTTAGTTTTTGCTGTATGTTCTTCACATGTTTCAGTCCCACACATTCAATTTTAGGCTGGAAAGTTTTGCAAAATTTTATTTTTCCCATTATACTTTACCTTTTAAATTTTCAGTCACTGAAAGCAATTTTGAAACTAGTGATTCTTAAATTTCAAAGAATTGACGAATGTGTTTTTTTTTTTTTTTTTCTTTTTTTCTTTTTAATATTTGATTTCTGGAACCTTTTCAAAGATAACAACTTTCTTGGGCTTATAATTGAATCTGTATCCTCTTTAAAGGAAGCTTCTTGAAGAAACGTCCATGTAGTGACTCAATTTTGTATTTCTTTTACTGGTATTTCCTTTCTGTTGAACTCTTTCCAGCTTGATACTGTCATTGAAGCAGAAAAACAAGCTGCTAGAGACTTGATTCGTCAAAAGAGAAAGGATAGGGCATTGTTAGCATTGAAGAAGAAGAAAACGCAAGAAGAATTGCTGAAGCAAGTTGATGCCTGGCTCATTAATGTCGAACAACAAGTAATTGTTCTTTATCCAAGCTGAAGTTTATTTCCCTTTTATGTTCGTTTGATATTGTTTTGATTAAAGTGAAGAATCGGAATGAGATTCACTCATCCATTTGATGGCCTCTACTTTGGTGTTGAATTGTTAGCTTTGTTGAGCTAGATTATTTTTTCATTTTTCCTTTTACTTTTTTTAAGATAAAAGATATAAATGCTTATGTTTTGTTCAGTTGGCAGATATTGAACTAGCAAGCAAGCAGAAAGCTGTATTTGACAGTTTGAAGGCAGGTACCAATGCTATTAAGGCTATACAAAGTGAGATAAACATGGACGATGTTCAGAAGTTAATGGATGATACCGAAGAAGCTAAGGCTTATCAAGATGTAAGCCTGACTGTCACTTTTATTTTCTTTATGTTTCTTTTGAGATAATTTTTATTTTATTTTGCTTCATCTCTCTGTATATTTCAGTTTCAAATCCAATATATATGTATAAATATGTATCTGCCCTTAAAAGTCCTTCAGAAATGAGTGTTTTTTTCCTTATAAATGGTCTGGTTTGCTTATGTTAAAAGATATGACTACCATCTTTGCATTAATTAGGGATTCCCCCCACCCTCTCTCTCCCCTGTGTGTGTAGGAGAAAGGGAGAAGAGGATAGAGAAAGAGAGTTGTCTAATACAATCCTCTATCAGTACCATCTAAGATGATGTGTTTTCGCTGTCTATAAGCTACTTATCATATTATCAGATGGTTGCTTGTGGCCAAACTTATTTTACAAGCTTGAGCAGTCAAACCTAAGTAATACACTAGAAAACTATTATGAGTGTTAAAAGTAATACAGTTTTGTATGTCATAGTTGTGTGCTGTGTATCACAAGAAAACTATTGTCAGTGTCGTGGCTTGTGTGTGGTTTACTTTTTTGGTACTGGATGGAGCAGTTTGCAAATTTACTGTGCATGTGACCAGCATAAAACCTCAGAAGATTTAGGAATTTGCTTACTTTTCTATAACAACAACAATGGTTTTTACTATTGTTTTTGCTTTTTCCTTTATTGTTTTATTAATTTCTGAAGTCTAAGTATCATATCTGTTGTGATCCTATAGGAAATTAATGCGATATTGGGTGAGAAATTGTCAGCGGAAGATGAAGAGGATATTTTGGCCGAATTTGAGAACTTGGAAACTCAGGTATGTGTATATATTTTGTTTGAACAACTGGCTTCAATCTTCATGTATTCTCCTGCATATTCTTCCTTCAAGTTAATTGCCGATATTTCTGTACACAATTATATCAAACTTTGTCATAACTAATATTATAGTATATACTCAAACTACTTGCTATTTATTTGTGAGTCCCTTTCTTGTTCGCATTCTTCTGTGATTTCTTTTTCTATAATCTTCTTGTAGAGGAGAGGCTACTGATACACAGAATATGGTTTTTCTTTATCTTATTGGGGCTTACCAAATTGTATTATTTTCAGGACAAAAATAAGCTCAACTGTTCCTTTGTATCCCATCTTTCTCCATGATCCAAGTGAATTTTTATTTTAGATGCTTCAATGAAGCAGGCATGGAACTTTGAATTTTATGTAAAATAAACAGGAAGATTTTATTTCAGATAATAATTAGTTTAGAATGGGTCACACTAAATTGGTCTTGCTTGGTTAATTTCTTCTTGTACAGTTTTAAGCATGGTGTTTCCACTAAAGCATAACTTTTGTTTTCTTTTGACATTTTTGACTAAAATTTGCATTTTTATCTTACATTTTTGGAAGTTTACATATTTCTTAGCATTTAGCCCTTCATATATATCCTTTTAATTATACCTATATTGAACTTCTTCTTTCAGATGACCGTTGAAGATATGCCAGAAGTACCTACTAAAGGACTATCTGAAGAACAAGAGCATCTGGATCTGCCTGATGTGCCAACGAAAGCTCCAGTTGCTTCCAATGTGGTTGCGGACGATGCTGAAATAGCTTCAGCTGAAGTGTCCACGAAGAAGAAAGGTATGTCTGTCTCTCTCTTGCTTCCGCATTTGCTGTCCACACACACACACTCACACTGACAAACACTAAGGCTTTACCGACTTCCAATGCCTGGTATTGTTCATATGCAGTATTAACAGAACCACTGCCCGCGTAGTTGAATGAACTTCCAAACGAACTTCTAAACGAAATTGCAACATAGAGTCTTGTGAAGCTGCTAAGCATTTTTGATACACCATTTGTTGGTGGCCTTTGTCAATGCATGTACTAATTCATTTGGTTTGTTTTTGTGTACATTTTGGTTTGGTTTAGCTTTCACAATTATTCTCCAAATAAGATTTGTACAAATCTGTATAATATTTTAATTTATATTGAGGCGTTACACAGCCTTTATATTCACACTTCTTTTTTCTTTTGTTATGTTTTTGGATATTGAAAGAGGGCAAACAAACGATAGAATATTGGAAGCTTTGGGAGAAACAAATCTAATGTTGAGACCTGTTGAGTGTTGATAGCTGATACAAGGCTACCTTCTAACATGACAACAGTAACGAAACCAAAACACCCTCATAATTATAATTTGTTAAATAAAATATTTTAGACATAATGATGTCAAAAATTATCACAAACAACCCTAACACTTTTGTTCCTTTCAAACGGCAACTAACATGATATGCCCACAGAATAGTCAAGGGCCAAATTGTTTTTAAGTATGCAAATACTGTTTCCTTTCTTCACGTTTGATTTCCATTATACAACATTTTATACATCCATATTGATTCATTGATCAATATATATGAATCACAAATCAACGTGCAGTTCTTCACCATCAAAGCTGAAGCTCTTCAAGTTTGATGAGCACAATGATTCGCTGCCAAAAAATCTTGACACAATGAGCCGTGCAATGTTCTCAGCTGCAACAGCACTTGTCTCCATGGTGCTAGCAGCATTCTCAAAAGCATTAACATAGTACAAATGTTGACCATCCAAAATGAACGGTGCAAATACCTCAGGAGCTGTGTAATGTGGGTAGGCACCCCAGTCTATGCGAATTGTCTCCCTCCTTGCACTAACATTGTCAAAATTAACAAAGAATCAAAATAGAATCGTCAATGGGTTTTTGCACCAGTTTGATTGACTTTAAGGGCTTTTCCATCAGGCACTGGCTGAAGGCAACTAAGGAGTGAAGCAGGATTGGCTAGTATACAGTTCAATTGTTAAACAACCAAGTTAATTTACAAACAAAGCCAACCAAAATATAACCAGGAAAGAAAAACATCTATCACCAGCTTATTTAATTTAGCATTTTGCAATATATATATATATATATATATATACACTGACCCCCCTACAAAAGGGCAACATCAACATTGATAAGATCAACCATTTTAACCAAGTGTTCTTATTGTCTACCTCATTTTGCATCTCTGTTAATTCCCTAAGATAATGGACAGAATGTTGATAAGGTATCAACAAGTGACTGCTACTCCTGCTCAAATTACTAATTAGCATTACTAATTAGCTACCATGATAAATAAACTATGTTAAGTAACAAAATAATACTTCAATGTGGCATTATGATACTCTTTTTTCCGAATCAAATGAATGACAATTACTGGCTACTAACTACTGACTAGTTGAAAATATTACCTGAAGATGTCATCTAACAATGAATCTGCCATTGGTTTACGAGAGAATATCTTGTAACTGATGTCTTTTTCACCATGTCGCTTCAGAATTGAAATGCTCGTCAATGGAAGGTCAGGATCCTCTATTGTGCCCACCAGATCTGGAATTTTTGAAACATCATCCAGGCCAAAATATACCTTGCGAAGTGCGAACAGCAAATAGAAAGTAATTAATTTCCAGAAAAAGGAAAAAAGATAAATTAAGAAAAGACAATAAAATTGGGGGTCTGAGTTTGAAACAGAACACTGAGCAAATTTTTTGTAGTTAAATCATATAAGAACATGCATTTAAAGGTAACTTACAGGATTCAAAATGCCTCTCACAAAAGTGGCATGTGTGTGCTGTAGTTTCCTCTCCGGGATTAAAATTGGAGGGCTGAAACGTAGATTCAACTCATCCAGTGGTGTGGCGACCGCAGTTACCTCACAAGTGTAACTGTTTCCTTTAGTGGAGTTAAGCTCATAGTAACCTCCAAGGTACGAGATAGATTCTATTTCTTCATGGAGGTGCAGTGCAACATCTGAACGGTTAATTAGCCCAGCTGCCATCTGCCAGTTTCCCCCTTCAACAGCCCATAATCCTCCGCCAGATCCTGCCAAGGAAACAGCACCAGCAAGTCCACTGATGTCGATACTTTGACCATAATTGATTCGTGTGATGACCTACATATGGCAATGGAATTTTAGTTGTGACAGATTTGTAAACGATCAACTGTTGCACCAAGTCTCATACACATTCAAATGCAAATATTACAAAGATTCAACCACTGTCAACACTGCTCTTAGAGTTTCTGCTTTCTAGACATGCATGCACAGTATTATATATAGACTAGAGGTTAACAACCCAAGAGATTCAACTAACTGAATAAGCTAATACCAATGATTAGATAGTTATAAAGACACAAAATAAGAATGCATGATGACTGGATGTAATTCTTTGATTCAAATACAATAATGGGCTACATGGCGGGGTTCTCCTTTACCATAATCAACAAAGCTATAATTCCAATTACCCTGTTATTTCCCATACACAATTGACTGAGGGAAAAAAGATGGCTAAATTTTTTTAAAAGCAGTTACAAGTTGAATTTTCTTCCTTACGTTGTTACACACAACTGCCTGTCCTTGGTTGCTTCATTAAACTACATATAAAAGGAGTTAACTTTTAATTCTATGTCCAACTTCAACATCCAATTCCTCCCTCAAATCTTCTCCCCCTAAGTTGCAAACGGTATACAAATAAGGCACTAATTTCAGCAAAAATCAATTATTCTTCGTCTGAATTTGAACCTTCATACTCTCAACTATAATTCTACTATTTTTTAGAGGTCCTTTAAGATCTCCCACACCACATTTGCATCAACTTTCAACTTGAGATTAATGGCTCGTTTTTTAGAAGAGAAAAGATTTAATTAACAAAGGATTTCTTTCACAGTCCTAGAAGTATTCTTGTTTTGTAAATATTTTTTTCAGGAAGTTTTATTCTAGAAATTGGTTTCCTTGTAGCTATCCTTATAGGTTTTTTATCACGGGAAGATTTATTCTAGAAAATAATACAGATTGTATAAGTAATGTTCTTACTAAGAGAAACAAATCCTTGCACCTACAAAGAGTAATACTATATATACAACATTATATGGCAAAATATGATTGATTGATTTTAAATTAAAATTAAACTTTCACCCAATCATCTTTTGCCACATAATATTGTATGAGAAATGTTGTATAAGAATGTTGTATGTCTAGTATTATTCCACCTACAAATAGGAGTCACAAGAAGAGTGTGTGAAAACCTCACCTCAAGAATTGTGGTGTAAACCTCACTATTGTGAGATTGGGTATGTTTACATACTAAGAAGAGAGTGTATGTTCCACATAAAAAATAAGTGTAATATTCACAAATAGAGGGGAATACAAGAGTGCATAAATCTTACATTTAGAAAGGGTGTGACAATGTGCTAGATTGTCTAGAGTGGCAATATATTATGTTGTCTAGATATGTATAGACACAAGATGTGATACACAAAGGGGTGCGCTCCTACAAAAGAAGTGTGAGAAACCACAAGGCGTTGTTATCCAAGACACGGAACGTAGTGAAAGAGAAAGAGAGCTAAAGAGTACAGGAATAGCTCAAAAAAATAAGCACAGTTTCTCTCACACAATTGAATTTGAATGTGTGAATTGCCAAATCTTGTAACAGAATTCAGAGCTTGGATTCAGGGTTATATTTGACTAACTTGAGCTATACACAGACTTATATAATTGAACTATTTACCTTAATGAATGAATTTCTTTATGGAGCTAAAGACCTTCTTTTGCCCAACCACTCTCAATGAAGGCGGAGCTGAACTTTCTTTTGCCCATCAACTAAATTTGGTGGGTGTATTTCTATGATAAGAAGTGCCATAAACAAATCCATTTTCAAACACAACAATTTTACTAAATTCATTTATGATTAACACCAATCTATTTCAAACAAATGCAACACAATTATACCAAAATAGAAAACCAAGAATCCTTTTCATTTCTGAAGCTAGACTTTCTTTTGCCCATCAAGTAAATTTTGTGTGGGATTCTGTGATGATTGGAGAAACTACTTTTCCAACACAACAACTTAAACTAAATTCATTCATAATCAACACCAATCCAATTCAAACAAATTGAACACAATAACCAAAATGGAAAACCAAGAAACCTTACAGTGACAAGCTCCTGAGTCAACAACCGAGTCAACCCAACATCACCCACTTCCTCCCTCAAACTTCTAGTAGTCAAATTATACAAACCAGCCCACTTCAGCATCTCATCCACACTCTCAAAAACCGGCCTCCTTTCCAAACTTTCATAATATTTCAAAAACCTGCCCACAGCACTATCCACAAAACTCTGCATCTTCAACAACGACCACCCATATCTCATAAATATATAAACAGAATTTGCAAAAGACACAATCTTTTGCACAAACGGGACCTTGGAGTCAACACTCAACGTCTTGAACACAAATTGCTCGCCGTCCCAAATCCCGAAAGAGTTGGATTCGTCGGAAGAGGATGGCTGTTTGATCTTTAAATTCAGAAGCTTTGTGAAATTTACAGCGTGGTAGTTCTTCGGGTGGAGGATTGAGGCGCCGGCTTCGAATGTGTGGTTGGAGATAGTGACGGTGCCCATCCGGCCTCCGACGACGCCGTTTCGCTCGAAGATGTGGATGTGAGGGGGGTGGGGAGTGGTGGGCGGAGAGTAACGGCGGAGGAAATGGGCGAGGGAGGAGCCGGCCATGCCGGCGCCGATGATGCATATGGTGGGTTGGGTTTGCAGAGAGAGTTGAGGTGTGAAGAGAAGAAGTAGAGTCAGAAGAGAGAGAATTTTTGTTTTCGAAAACATGCCGTACCGGTTGGTGCTATTGTTTCTGTTGAGTTTTGTTTTCTGCAACACTGGAATGTGTAAGTGGCAATAGATTCATAGAAGGGCATTTTTGGAATTTTTTCAAAATGCATTTCGTTGAATGTTATTTTATATATTTTATGTTTTTATTTTCTGATTTTTAAAAATATTAAAAATGATTGAAAAATAAATTTTCATTCACCGTACAAATCTGAAATCAGTGTTTAAAAGTGTGAAAATGAAAACGCGCTCATTATATTTTTCTATTTTTTGAATTAAAAATGAAAAATTTGTAACTGAACGCTTGGTACACAAATTACAAGACAAACTGAAAATTTTAAAAACAAATTCACAAAAGTTTAATATTATTTTCTTAGTTATTTAGTTTCCTTCATAGGATTATATTTCTTTATTTAGGGTTAATAAGTGTTGATTTTATTCGATAGTGTCTAATTTATTAGAATGAAAATTTTGATATACATTTTAATTTTAGATCTAAAAATATTTAAATATTCTAAGTAACTCATTTTCAAATATTAAAGTCTAAAGATATTACAAAACATATAACACCCTCTTGATATAGAAATCTACACCAACCAGCGAGATCCGATCGGCTTTGTTGGGATTGGAACTGATGTGTATGTGATTACAGGTAATCAACGATAAATGAATGACAATGCTGGAAAGTAAATAACAAAGAGAGCTTTTAAAGTGGTTCAGTGAAGTTAACTACTTACGTCCACTGTGTTTTGTGCATATGTTGTGAGAGCTTACAATGTAGTTGTAATCCAGAATTCGTATACCCCCACCCCCGCTTTATCGTTTTAGGGGGTTTATATACAAGATTTACATAAAGGAAATAACAAAATTAAAGGGATTACAAATGATTTGAATCACAATTCCAATATCCTTGCGATTGAGTGCTATGATCGCGCAACGATAACTGTTGATCCAATCATTCCCATAATATCCGGGATCTGAAGTAATTTAGGGATTGATTGATTAATTCCTAGGATTGTCTACGACTAGCTTGTGCTGAGTCGAGCTATGGCTCGACGAGCTTATGCTGGGTCGATCAATAATAGTTGCCGAGATCATTATGGGCCGAGCTATATCTTGGCGTTGGCCCAAGTTTGGTGGAAAAACCACACACAACATCTGCCCCCTAGTGTTCGATGCTTGTTTCGGGCTTCGAAGACTATCGCTCAGTCTGATGCCAAGCTTGGCTTCAATAGTGAGTCTCTGAGTGCATGCTCGATCGGGCTTCCACGACCAACCTTACGTCTGGTCGACGTTCTTCACACTTGGACATTATTACTTGTGCCACCTGTCAAAACTCAGAATATAAAAAGTCAGGGTATAAATGTAATTTTTGTGTGGTCATGTCGTATTATATGCAGCAGCCTTTGTCAGTTATGTTTCGCCGCGCATGAGCGATAACAGCTGTTCACGCGCAAAGTCAAGGCATCGTGCGATGACAGTTATCATTTTTGATGGTTCGTCGCACCTCGTGGATGGTCGACACGTGGCCACGTCCAAGGGTTGAGATCGCTCAACGAATGAAGGGCTAGGATCAGTTGTGTGTCAATGGTTGAGATTGAACTTCGCCCTTTCGTCTTCCATGCAAAAATCACTATAAAAGGTGGCGAATATTCAAAACAGCCACTCTGAAAGTTCCTCCACTTTCTTGCTTTTCTTTGCCGTTGCTCTTACATCGTCGCGGTGGTCTTTCTTACAAGTTCTCAGCGCTCTTCTTTATTCCGATAAGACTTTTTTGTTTTCCTTACTCATTTTTCCGACTTTTGTGCTAAAGGGTGGTTGCTGTAGTGGCCACATTGGATGTTTTAAGATTTTAGTAGGGTTTTGGGGTGTATTTCTGGCGATCTCGGGTTTTAAAGGGGTTTAATCGCGGTGGTCGCCGGTGTCTTGGGTAGGTCGTGTTACTTTGTTGTGTTGCGCGAGCTATTTTGGGTGCTTGAGATGGAAGCAAATGTGGAATGGTCGCCGAGTTGTTCAAGCTCTCTAACACATGTTTGCTTCTTTTTTCAAGTACCCAGAGTCGAGTTACAACCATGTCCTCGTCTAGTAGTCAAACAATAGATCGAATGTTCGATTCACCGGTTGGCTCGGTAGCACTAGAGAATGTGTCCCTTAGGATATCCAAAGAGTTTGTCGCCAGAAGCTCAGACCCCGACGCTGCGGGCTTGTCCAACCATGTTTCGATCCAATTGGCTCATTCCCCGCCATCTCCTGCTCATAGACTACAAAAAGAGCCACAATCCTTGATGACCCTCAGGGATCTTGAATGAATCAGGGTGACCTATGCGCTGCAGCTCAACCTGATGGCCCTAGGAGAACACTCTCGGAAGAACCCTCCAACTGAATGGGTGGCAATTTTTGAGACTCTCCTCAGGTGCAGGGTATCCATTCTCCCGCACCCTTTCATCGATAAAGTGTTGAGGCAATTCGACATCGCTCCTCTCCAACTGACGGCCAATTCTTACTTGATCATTACCGGGGTATACATCGCGTACATGATCGCTGAGCTAAGCGAGCCATCCATCAAAGAGTTTGTCCACTTGTACAGGCTCAAAAAGGGTCAAGAACAGACGTATTACCTTTCCAAGGTGAGGAAAGTATGTTTCAATAGGCTGGTTGATGTCCCAAAGAAGGTCCCACATTGGGACTCCCAATTCTTCTTTTATGAAGCCGGGACAAGTGGTGTCTTCGCTCCGGAAGCGAGTAAGACTTTGGTCGCTCGAGTATGCGAAGACAAGTTTCGAGATTTTCTTCATTATCTAACCAAATTACTTTCTATTATAGTTAACGTCGGGCAGAACTATCTCCCAGCGACGAGCTTGCAAAGGCTAAAGTGTTTCAGCGATCTTCCTGAAAATTCATGCAATGTCCACAAGCTTTTTACGGTTCCTCACCTAAAGGCATATGACTTTATAGGGACAAGGCCAAATTTTTAGCGCTTTTTGAAAAAAGGTATGTTGTTGCTTGCTCGCGTTTGATTTCCTGCGCAAATTATCGCTAACTCGTTTCCCTTTTTCCTTGCAGAAATATGGGCCGAAAAACCCAAAAGCCTTAAGAAGAAAACGACGGCCTCATAGGCTACCCAGAAGGGGCCGGCTACTCCGGTGATAAAATAGCTCGCAAATGTTGTTGGCACGAAGCGCACCAGAGGCGAGCTTGTGGAGGGCCCAAGCGCAAAGAAATTTGCGACCGCCTCTAAAGCGGTTGGTGAGAATAGCACCACCAGGCCCCTTGAGGGGCCAGCGAAGAAGACATCCAAGCCAACTATAGGCTTGGGAAAAGGTAAAGCACACGAGCAGCACGATGGCTAGGGGAAGACGAAGGTGATTGAGCCTTTGGGGGGCTCGAGCAAAGAGCAAAGAGGTCGCCACGCATGCTAACGGCCTTCAGAAAAGCGCAGTCAAGAAGAAGCCTGCCCCTGCGGGTGCGACAACTGCTCCAGGGGGGAGTAGACCTGGCTCGTCCAAGCCAAAGGATGGGGGACGGGTGAAGTGACCGAGGCTGAAGTCGACACTCTGATCGACCAACTCCCTGACCATATCAGTGTTGTGCAATGGCCGAGATTGTGTCACCCTGCAAACATTTGCGGCCGTTAGGGACTTGGCTCTCTCCCAGATATTAGCCTTAACCTGCAGCTATGTGGCTAAGGTACTGGTAGCTTGCTTCCTTTTTTCTTTTTCTTTTTTTAATGCTATTTTTGTTTCTTGCTCGCTTTTCACCTTTTCGTTTTTAGGTTGCCATGGCGAGCCGACTCTTGTACGAAGAATGTGGCCAAACCTTGGAGGGAACTCACAAGGGATAGATGCCGGCGGAGACAGTAAAGAAGGATGCCTTGGCGAGGGCCAAGGTTGCAGAGAAGGAGAGGGAGGCTAGGCAAGCCGAGCTTGAGCACCTTAAGGAGGAAGTTTACAGCCTTTGTGGTCAAGGAAAGGGAGTTCCTTGACAAACTTAAGGCAAGCGAGGTTACTCGGAGTAAGGATGAAGCTAAGGCAGCAGAGGCCGACTAGAGTTTGGCTCAACAGCGAGGAGCCAACAACAAGCTAAACTTTAAGCTTTCCTTAGCCTAGAAAGCAGCAGCAAGCTGGGAGGCCAAATTCAAGCAGGCTTTCCTCGACCTTACCCAGGAAACGGTAGGTTAACAAATTCCCAAAGCTAAGGTTGAGCAACTCAGGCTTAGAATTGAGGAGCTGAACGAAGCCATCACTACCCGATCCTAGGAGACGTCGATCTTCCTTGTGCAGAAATTATGGGAGGCTCATCCGTGGATCGACTTTTCTTTCCTTTTGCAAGCTTATCAGAAAGAGGTCGAAAGGATGAAGGTCGAGGCTTAAGGGATGACCTACGTGTACTCGGATGACTTCAGAAATGTCGACGAGGGCCAGAAAGAGGTCAAGGAGGCTGGACCCAAGTTAGAGGTCGAAGACCCAATTTCTCTGACCACATTCCTCCTGAGCGAGGTTCCCGAACACGAGGTTGAAGACAGACGCCCTGCTCTCACATCAACCTGAAGAATCTTAGTCTTTTTTTGTTTGTTTGTTTGTTTTTTTTTTTTTTTTTTTTTTATATTGCCTGAATGTAATTAAACTTTTAGTTAATGAAAGAACATTTTTCAACATTTCTCTTTCGAGCAATGATTGTTTCATTTCTGCAGAGTCATTTAATTCATCCTAATCGGACTTTAGAACCCGAATTTTGCTCCAAGTCATACGTAGTTCGCTTCTTTAGGAGCTTTTCAGATTTTTTGCAAAAAAATATTTATGCGACGTTTGGCATCGATTTCGGACTTGTCGTCCTTTTAGGGCTTTCGACACCGGCTTAAGGCCGATTTTTTCTAACATGCTTTTTCTTGGAATTTACCAAGTTTAACTTCGTCGACCTGGGATTTTCAATCCTGATTTATGTGAGGAAATCTGATGCGACAATAAACTTCAATTTTGGACTTTATTGTCCCTTTCGAGGTCTTTGGTTGCCGGCTTAGAGCCGATTTCCTTCGACGTGT